GTGAGCAGCTTTGAAACTGAAAGAACAGGGAAGGGGGGAGAGAAAAAAGATATCAGATCTCCAGACAATGAAATAAAGCAGCTATCTCTCACATCCTGCAGAGCTCAGGCTGAGGTCACAAGTTAAACAGGACATCAGAATAGGTGATGTAATTTGCTTATTTAGGATCACAGCGTTCAGTGAAGTGAAAGAGACAACCTATTTGAATTTGCAGATAATCCAATAATAAATGCAGGGCTGTTCAGTTGCAGAAACTGCAGCTGGAGCCTTAGATTTTTTTTTCCTGGCACATTTATTTTTGCAGGGGATATAATTACAATCATTTTTGCTTGCAGGAAAGCCTAGAAATCTCACCTACGACCAGGCCCACATTGCATTTGGTTCAAGCAGGGTTCCCTCCCTGGACAAGGCAGAAGCTAAACAGTCAGGTCAGAAGCCAGGATGTGGCACAGCCCCTGTCAGGAACCATTTCTCCTGAGCTCAGCTGAGCATGCCCGGCCTGGGCACCAGAGGAGCCCACTCTTCCCATGTCCAGTGCAAGGGCAAAACTCAAACGAATCAAAACAAAACAAAAAACAGCCAAACCTCAAAGTTCAGCTAAGCAGCAGTTACACATTCAAGTAAAACACAGATCAGCTTTGCTGAAGATGGACAGGCCCTTCTGCCTCAAAATCTCTCTTCACAGCTTCAAACCAGCAAGGATTTTGCAGCAGAGTTATAAATCTTTAACAACAAGGTTCTTATATAAGAGGAATAATTTATCAGCTATCCCATACAATACTGGACACACTGTTTTTCCCTCAAACTGCTGAGACAAACACTTGTGATATAAAGATTTAAAGCTAACAGCTTGCACTGTTTATCTCCTCAGTTTATCACGATTCAAACCATAACTTCACTCTGTCTGTGCTGCACAGAGCAGCATTACTTACAGCCAAGGACTTCCAGTCCCTCCTGAACCTATCTGCTTGACACAAGTGCTGTTTCACTGGCAAGAGTCAGCCAGACCCGACACCAAACCTCAGCCCAAGGAAGCTAAAGTCCTTGTTACCTGAGGCTCACAGAGCAAAAAAGCAGTAGAGATGCGTTAGCCACACTCCAGGGTTAGCAGATGCATTCTACCCATGTTTCTCCCGGCCCTGATGGATTTTCACTGAGATGGTCCAGAGAAGCAAGATGGAAAAATCCAAGTCAGTCATCCAGGTAATATGTCAAAAATGTTCATTTTAAAGAATTTCTTCATGAGAGTGGAATGGAGCTTGTGTTCTTCTGCCAGTGCTGAGCTGCTAGCCATGCCCCATGCTCAGACACCAGCATGGAGCACAATGGGTGGCTACAGCAGGCAGGGCTGGGAAGTGACCTCTTTGGGAAGTGACCTCTTTGGGAAGTGACCTCTTTTATGCACTGACAGAACTGTGGGAGTGCCAAATGTCAAACCCTATATAAAGCAACCTAGCTGTCTGATGTTTGAACCCCAAACTGCAGCCATCCAGTTAGACACAGGTTTTGATCTTTTCTTAAACGTAAGCTGTGTGATAACTTCCCCCATATTATCAAAAGCTGATCTTCCACTCAAGCTAATTTGGTAGTTGGCCCTAATACTACTTATAGTAGCTTCTGGCAACTCCACGAAGACCTTCTGACTAGTCTAAGGCACCTATGTGCTGAACTTAGCATTTACAAACAACTTCCAACATGCATTTTGTATCACCTTTGCCTGAAGAAGTGACTTCTGGTTATTTGAAAAGAAGAAAAGCTGTATGAGATATTCAAATCTGTGTATTTGCGTCTCAGATAGATGGAGAAAATTAATAGATGGAGGAAATTAGTTTATGTCAGAGATTTAAAAGCTAGGAAACATGACTTCTTGGGGCTTTTTTGTGTGCCACTAAAAGACAGAATTTATCTTATTTTCACTCAAGCCCCCTAAAATGTTCCTCACTGAAGACAACACCCAGCCTAGCTAAAGCTGCTGTGCACAGGTGGCTTCTCCATGACAATCACAGAGCCCTAAGATGCAGCACATGAGAGACCCATGTGGTGGGCACATTTGGCATGCTGTAACTGGCTGTACTGGTAGCAGCCTCCATTTCTGGAGCTTAGATCCAGAGCAATGAGTCAAAGCCCAGTACAACTGAAGGCAGAAATGATGAGAAGCACATGGGTGAAATTCTCCTTGCACTTGCTAGAGAAGTCAAACAGAGGTAACTGGTATTTGCCATTGCTTTAACAGAAAAAGTCGGTGTTTTGGCAGAGTTACAAAGCCAGTCCATTCTTTATATCCACAAAAGGGAGACTGCCCATCCCTGCTGAGGGACCTGACAGAGGAAATGTATTTTACAGCAAACCCAGGTACACCATTGAATTGGGACCTATTTTTACCATGTGCACTACACGCATTAATTGTTACTGCAATGATATTTGCTGACATATCCACTCCAACCATTTACAGAAAAAGCCCAAGAGACAAAACATGCCCTTGCTCCATGAGACAGAGAGAGGCAGGCAGGATGCCACATTGCTTCCTGTGATACACAGAAAATGCTTATCTGCAAGGGATGATTGCAGCTGATAATGAATCTCCAAGCATGCTGTGAGCAGAGCTGAGCCGGCCCCTTACTGTCCAGCTGAGCCCCAGAAAGGTGAGGATGGAGAGGGCCCTGCTCACAAGCTGGTATTGCTTAGGTCTGTTGTTCTGCTGAAAGTGCCTGCAGAAGCTCTTCATGACCCCGGCTTGCATGCTGTCAGCCCTCCCTTGCTCCAGGGACAGCCGAAACCCTCAGTCATCCATTAGCAATGCACATTTCTGCAACGAGGTGGCAGAACTCTGAGTAGTTTGCGAGCCCTGAGGTCTGTAAAGTGGTTAGAGACCACAAAAGGGGGCATGGAGGGAACAGATCAGCAGTTTAAGGATGGAGCCCCCATCCTACTTAAGTGCAATTAAGCTTTACTAGGTTTGCAGAGAGGATGTTTTAGAAAGAACCTGCAAATGATGTACTTAGTCACATGGTCTGAACTTTTGGGTAGACCTGTGCGGTGTCAAGAGTTGGACTTGATGATCCTTAAGGGTCCCTTCCAACTCAGGATATTCTATGATTCTATGATACTGAGGTCTCTTGGACACAGTGGCACCAGAGCACCCTTTTAAATGCAGAAATTTGCCATTTTTGATGCAGGCAGTCAATATGCTCAGTAGTTATACAGTATCATCCTTCTCAATGTACTGACCACTGCCCTCCCTTGCATGCAGAACGGCTGCATGCTGCAGTGCTGAGTGCTCCTGTAATGGGCTGGGTGTCTGCTAGGAAGACAGCTGTGACCGCTTGGGATTCTCCCTGAGAACAACACCATCCATTGCACAGGCTGTAGATGACAGCTGAACAAAATCAGCTCCAAAACGCCAAAGCCTTAAATGTAGGTAAATATAAGATTCAGAACACAGAGCACTTCGACAAATAATAGCATCTTCCCATGCCTCGCAGTATAAAACATGCAGCTGTTCTACCACCACAATTTACAGGGAAGACATTTCTTCTGGAAGTAAGAGAACACTTCGTATATATTCCTAGCCAGATTGATTACCCCTATTTATATTGTAAACTAAGACAGCACATACTAAAAAGCCATATAGTTAAACAGTTCCAGACTCCGGATCATGGGCAAGGGGTCAGTTTTAGATTGTATGCTGCACAGCCTTCTGCATTTATTACAGATATCACAGTTTTCTGCAACAGCCCTTTTTTATTTTATTTTATTTTATGTGCTTATTCTTGTGGTATTTCAACAACCGCCAGGAAAAGCACTGACATTTTATGGGATCTCAGGGAATCGGAGAATCTACCATTTATTTTTTTTAATTGCAAAAAAAGCCAGCGTGTCACTATATAACAACTGAAATCTGTTCTCGGAACAATAAAACCACCAGAATGAATGCAATCTTATATCTAAGCATACACATTTATCCTGCAGTACGATCAACTGATCAGCCCATACTATGTTGATCCAATCTGTATGTTGTTAAATCATTCTCATCTTATATGCAACCTGCGCAGCTGGACAACTCTCATTTTCTCCATAGGGTACTGACAAGGTTTCAACAACCAGCATCATTTCTAAGCAGAATTCTAAAAAATTGTACTCTGCCATGTTTGCCCAGGAACCATTGCTATTCAAACAAAATTTGTCCAGTTTCACCAGGCCAGGAGACCCTGGTAGTTCAACTAAAAGGCACAGAATCAGACTTTACTGAAGTACTCAGTTGGCTCGTTTACTCCTTGTAGAGAGCTGCTTTTCTAGCCACCTTTGCAGTTTCTTCTTTTTCTCTCTCTGAACACTGATAAGATGAGAGATGTTGAAGTCTCAATTTGGTTTATATTACAGTTTTTGAAGGGATAGGTTTCAGCGTGTTACTGTAACAAATACAAGAGTGAAATTGGAAGAGAGGGAGATTTGAGCTAACACAATTAAAATTTCTTCTTAAAAACAATCCACAGATATCCAGTGCCAAACACAATCTGGAGTCATCAACCAGCATGGACATGAATTAACCTAATAGCTTTTGAAAAAAATATGATCCTAGAAAAAAATCCTCCTATTAAAGTAATTAAGTGTTATCAGAATCACAGAGCCATAATTAAACACAGTTTATAATTAAAACAGCATGTGTCCTAGACAGAGAACACAAGAACAAAGAGAATATAACTGTGACAGCTAATGCCAAAACACACACCAAGTATCAATACTCAGAACACAGTGGAACTTTTTGCAAGTTCCAGATGCAGTGCCTCTGACTTGGTCATCAACACCTCTGATGGATGTAGGCAGGCTCAGAACTCCTCACAGCTTTGCACAATTGTTGCCAAAGTTCAAGCAGAAATCTTGGGAACCAAGCACATGGCACTGAGTGCAAAACCCCAACAAGGGGTTGGGGTTGAGGCAGTGCCAGCTGTGAATGGATGGTGAGTGAGCATGGCCTTAAGCTTAGACAAGACTTGTCCTACCTGGCAGCGGCTGAAGATGTCCTCCAGGGTTACTTGAACGTTGAAGTGCTTCAAAACCTGCAGGGCCTGTTCCTTTGCCTTTTCTGAGCAGTTCACGGAGAAGCACCTCCCTTCTCCTACCTGGGACTGCAGCTTGAAAAGACAAGTCATAAACCAAAAAGACAATAAATGAGACAAATTCCATGCATCCTGATCCTGATCTGTGTTTTTTTTTTTTTTTCCTAATACACTTAGTTTGCTTTTAATTACAAATAACATTTGCAATTAATGTGCATTTACAGTCTAAATTTTCATTTAATGGGCACAACAGGTAAATTTTAACACTTAGCCACTGCTGCAAACACTTCTGAGACAACTGAAGCAGTACAGTGTTCATTATATCAAGCACGTTTGCCCAAGTTCCCTTATTATTTAGTGCTGTGGGGCTGACTGGGATAGCAAGAAGAAACTGAATTTAATCACAGTTCTAATGTGAAACCTTACAGATCACACACTGTATGCAAAGGTACAATCAAAGAGATGGTGTCTCATGCCAGTTTTATCGTTTCACCCCTTTAAGTTCACTGATGGCCAAAGAGCTTGAAGTGGTTGATGTGGACATCCTTTTCATGTTTGTTCCATATTTGGCAGAAAAGTCTCAATGGGAACAAGAATTGGGAAGTGTCCAGACACATCTTTATGAACATGATGAATACTGACAGCGAGGTGGATCTGCTACATCTTTTACCAGCATAAAAGAACCTAGCAGAGCCTTTCTGTCCAAGTGGAGGGCACACAAAGGCAAGGGAACAAAGGGAACCAGACATTTCCCAGGATGGTATTGTATGCTGTGAAGCAGTTAATCTCCTTTTGTGATGTTGACATAGTACTTTGAAATTAAAGTTTTGCCAGGTAAGATCATTCTGGACACTGCATTACCTACTGCATCAACCGTACGATAGAGGAACAATAGTCTGGATAAGGAACCTGTACCATGGCATGGCTGAGCTTGCCTCACAGTATCTTATCATGGGGGAAGTTTTCTTCAGTACTCAGCTACTATCTGGCAAATTAAAAACCTAAGTTCTGCAAATACTCTAAGTAACTATTTGAATAGTTGGGAGCTTTCATATTGGTAGTTTGTAACAAAGAGGCCCCTCACTCTGGCTCATGTGTAATCCAGAATAGTTTCTAAATTGTTTTTTGGGACAAAGTGCAAAGGACTTGCAGCAGGCATTATGACATTGCAAACAATGATAGGTTCAATATATTTCCATCAACACTGTTTTGAAGTATGTCTCATGAAGGGCTCTCAACATCTGGTGCCGAGGGTTGGGTTTTGCTTTTCTTTTTTTTTTTTTTTTCTTTTTTTAATGTGTATGTATATTTATAGAAACAAAAAACCTCCACAGCTTCCACAGTGATCCATGCTTGGTGACTTCCATTCTCTTCCTTCCAATCCAGAAGAGAAGTCTTTAAGTGTTGAAACTATGTCAATGTGCAGTGAGTCAGCAAACAAGAATCTTTCTGATAAAATGCATGGGGATTGAGCTGTCTTTCACCTGCCAAACAAAAATGCTTTGTTCTGGGATTGTTTGGCTTGATTTTTTATTTTCTTTAATGGAGGGCAATCGCACTCCCACTGATGAAGTAGTACATATAAAAGACATTTCACTCCAACCTTTGACCATTCATAAACAACAGAGAGCCTCACAAGACCCTTTACATAGTTCTTAGTGCAGGAAACATGAAATAGCCTAGCCAGCTGTTGCTTTCACATCTGTCTTGTCCTCTTTTCTACTCAGAACATCCTGCACCGCACAAGGATACAATGCCAGAAAAATACCAGAAGCTCTGAACACTTACAGTCTGATATGGTAGTCCAGAGGTTAAAATGACCCTTCCTTCCTGTCGAGCAATCTAGAAAAAAACAGTAAAAATTGTAAGGAACATGGGCTGAAGCTACCACTGGATTCAAGCTTTCCTCTCAGTCAAAACAGAAAGAACATGAACTGATGATACGGAGTCGTTCTCTGTCTGTCAACAAACACTAGGCCAAGAGTATTTGGGTCTGGTTCAACAAGATGCTTTTGACAGCAATAGCAGCTTAAGGTATCACTCTCTCCATACATGTCCCCTCCCTGCCAATACCCGCCTTGCCTCACATGTGCTGGAACAGCTACTTGTGCATCTGCACTGCAGATGGTCCAGGGAACTGATACACCTTGAAATAATCCTAACAAAAAGTTTTGTGTTTTTTTTTTTTTTTCTTTAACCCAGACTCTTTCTGTTTCCATGGTCTGGTTCACTAAGAACCAAGCAGTTCTGCTTTCACAGCAATACACAGGGGAGAAACGAAAAATACCCTAAGCGGTTAATTCCAGGGAAAAAAAAAAGTAAAAAACAAAAAGTAAAAAAAAAAAGTACCATTAAATGAGCCTGTGAGCTTCATAGACATTCACAGAATCATCTTCACATCTTAAAGGTAAGACAGTGTCACTCTCCCAACAGCCCAAGAGCAGACATATGGCAATTATGCACCCTTCCCAGGCTATAAAGAACATCTTCATCAGAGCTTGTCTCCTGGCTTGCAGTCCTATGCTTTTATCAGAGGTCTTGTCCTTCATGGAAAAGGTCTGCACTGAGTTAACAAGGGTCTCATTCCAACCTTCACAATAGAGTAAGAGAATCTTTGAGATGGTTTGGTGCCAAAAGAAAATAGGAAGCACTAAGCTTGGAACTGCAGTTCTTCAGAATGACAAAAGCGTGGCTGATCTTTGTACGATTAAGTGACATCGCTCCCTTCTACCTCTTTGCCCTCTCCTCTTGGAGGGAAATAGTTTCATGGATTTAGCGATAGAAGGATTCCCCTGTGAACCAGCACTTCTGCTCTGCTAGTGCTGACAAGAGATTGGCACTTTGAGGTAGGCACGAGGTTTTCTCTTCTCTGGCTTTTACTCTGCTGGAAGCCCTTGCATTTTTCACTATTTCCAGATGCGTGTCACGGAGCTCTCTCTTCTGGATCAGAGTCTCAGAAGCTCTCTCTTGATCATTCTTTAACCCTTGCAAGAGGGATTTGGGATCTGAGTCTTGTTGCACTTTCCAGGCAGTTAGACAACACCAAATATAGCCAGGGAACACCAACCAACCAGCCAAACAAAACAATGAGTTTTTTTAAACTTTGCATTGGATAGCTATTCTCTTAAGACCCACTTGACCTATGGCAACATGAAACAAGGGGGAGAACACTCTGAAGGCACCTTGTAGTAAAATGAGTAACCAATTTTTTCCTATCCTGACCTTTCAGGTAGCCTATTTCCTCTTTTCTTATATGAAGTCACTGCTTTGGCTGCCAATTCTGCACTGAGAAGGTGATTGGCAAGAACTTCTGAAGTACCTTCCTACAGGCAAAATTACTGTATTTCTTTCAAAATCAACCATGTCTCACAAATAAAGGGAAAAAACCTCGAGGAACAGAAACCTTGAAGTGGCAGCAGAGACAACCCTTTCTGCATGAAATGTACTACATACAGACTGGATTACTAAACAGCTCTGCCTACAAAACATCCTCATGGCACATTAGCAATAGAAGTCCAGAAAGGCAAGAGCGAATCTTTACCACAGTGATTTACCAACACGGGAAAAGAGATAAGAAATTCCTTTAGACCCATGTGTGCTTCAGGATATGTCGGAGGATTTCACAGCTGTAACACTCCATTCTGACTTCCAGCATCCAGGGTTAATTAGTTCAAGCTTGATAAATCCCCTTATCTAAATGGCTCTGCAGAGGCAGGCAAAAAAACATCAAATAAAAAAGAGAAAAGCAGTAACTCTTCCAGCATATTTTTTTCTGCCTCTGGAACAATCAGTGGGAGAAATGTGCAGAGCCAGAAAACCCATGTGATAGCACACATCTGACCAAAACCCACAGAGGAGACATGCTGCAGAAAGGGGCTCAATTCCTTCTCTTCTCCTGAAAGAAATAACCAAGTGCAGTGCCAGGACCATGTGGGAGATGTGTGCTTACAGACACAAACAGAAAGAATCCAAGCAGAGTGTTGGACTGGGTGTCAGGGTTTTTGCTCCACCCCAAGTGCTGCAGAGAGGGCATTGTCCTCAGTTTCACAATCTATTAAGAAGATAGTATCAACTTCCTTTGGAAATAGGCTGAGACCTTCTGGATAAAAAGCACTCCCTAATAACTTAGGATTATTACTTAGCCCTTTACATGGCTGTCTGTTCAGCTAACTTTCATCTTGCAGAGGTGAATGAGCACAAATGAATTACTACAAGACAGACCTGTAACGGCAATGACAGATGAGAGACCCTATGTTTTGAAGCTAGCACTGGTAATGGAAAGATTCTTAACAACCTAAAGGATTCTGAACTAAAGACAAAGAAGGTTTCAAAAACAGTGCCACAGATTTGTAATGTAAAGGAAAGAGAAACTGTGCTTGACGTTATAGCCAAGGCCTTGCACATGTGTTGGGCAGCACTACACGCCCTTGAAGAGGCAAATTGCAGTGCTCTGTTTGCAAGGTAGCTGTCCAGGAAAAGCTGTGACCATCTTGCTGTGTCAGAGGCCCAGCAGTGACCCTGAGCCTAGGCCAGCAAGGGCCCAGTTCAGACAGAAGTGGAGTAGACAGCAATCATCTGCTTCAGGATGTGTACTGGAAAGGCACCCAGCCGGCAATCTACTGGAGAAGTGGATCACAAAACTCAATCCAACCCTGAAGTCTTCCTACCCATCATCTGAAACTCTCTTAAAATACAATGTCCCAGACAGTTAACTGATGAGCTTAATAACTATAAATGTACTCCGTCCAGTGCTGCTGTGCACTTGCTGTACTGCTGGTATTTCAACCCTAGACTTCTCTTCAGCATTCCTGAAAATCATAAATTTCAAAGAGTTACAGCATGATTTCATAACATGGCCTCAAGTGCTAGATTAAACCATAAACCTAGCCTTGCTTCTTAACGCAGGCACATTTGTAACAAGGTCTCCAGAGAAATTTTCCTTCTACTGACCAAACATCAAAAGCTATGTCCTAATCTCAAAGGCAGTTCTCATCTGTTCTCTGTGAATTCACTGTGCATAGTGGTGGGAAGGTAGAAAGACTAGCAAACCCAAAGAATGTGGTTTACATCAAGACTATGGAGAAAGACATTCAAAAATGAGATGAGATCAGAGATTAGATTTTCCCATCACATGAAGCTCTGCTAACTGCAGTATCAGAAGTCCCCTTTGTGTCCCCTGGATCCAAACCAGGGGGACAAACCCACAGCGATTCAGATTCAGGTACACATTGCTCCCTCTGCCTCCTGAGACTCAGCCAAGCCTAGGCCTCTTCTCCAACTTGCCAGTTCACCTGGAGTTTTGGGGAAGTGCATATAGCCTTGTGAGGGAACCTTTTACACCATGGGAGCTGCAGGAAGCCAGTTCTACCAGCCTTCTGGATATTATCCTACTTCAAAAGATACCAAGTTTGCCTCAGTGTGCAAATTATTCTTGGAGGTGAAGATGATTTTGAAGACCAAGAGCACAGTCCATTAAAAACAAACAAACAAACAAACCCACAACTCAACTTTGAGTACTTCTGAATCCATCTGAGATTCCACCAAGCCTTTTCTTAGACATTAGTGACCTAAGAAACTAATGTGATTTTCTTACGAGCTTCTGTGCACTTCTGAAGTGCAGCATTGTTAAGATCTACTGCAGTTACCTCAGGCTGGTGGGCAATCCTTTAAGGTTAGTATAAGGAGCACCCCACTGCTCCACCAAGTTCTGCAAAACTGCAGAGAAGCACATCCACTGAAACTTTCCCACCTCCTTCCAATTGCCCACCTAGACGACCCAAAAGAGGGACTTAAAATTCCTTACAAAGAAGTTTGTACAAAAGAAACTGGAAGACCTGGCCAGAAACAGAACTGGGATAGGATTTGATAAAGTAAAGAAAAATGTATTTAAATAGAAATAACGTATTCTTTATAGGGATAACAAAAAGGAATGCAAAGGGTGGCTTACCCAAATAATGGCAGCTGTACACACAGAATGATGCTGCATAAGAGATACTGAATATCTTCTTTCTTTACCAGTAACAAAACTAAACCCCTAGGGGATTGGGTGCATACAAAAATATCAAGGCTTGGGATGGAGTCAGAAGCCCCTGGTGAGGAACAGCTGGACGCATGCAGCCCTTCTTCAAGAAAGACCTCCCTATTTTGCCACAGAGTAGGGCACCAGGCTTGGGCTAGTCTAGACCATTACACAAAGCCACTGATGCATTTTTTACCCAAGGTGCCAGACCAGAGTACTGCTGTCAGGCAAGACCATGTTTCAGGGAAAGCACATGGCAACCTGTGTCTAGTTCACAGGCTGCTTTAAGTCAGGTCCAGCACAACTTGTGCAGATATTTATCCCCCAGCTGCATATCTGCTTTGCCAAACAACTGTGTGCACAGCAATACAGCAGCTAGAATATAACTGCAACATGGTAAAAATGTCACTGCCACCCCAACAAATGAGACTTGGAAAAATTACAGGGTGCCCATACTCAGATACAAAGCTGCTCTTCCCAGAGAGGCTGGTACCTGTGAATAGAAGGCTAAATGTTTTTCTAAGGGTGGGCTGTGAGCTCTTTGCCCTTAACACGTGGAAAGATTTAAACACAGAAATAAAATTTCAGTAAGAATTTATATTATTTCACCATTATTAAAGACTTTCCGTGTCCATGATTATGACAGCACTTTTTAATCAATTACTTCCCCAGTTTAGTTCTAATTAAATGTCTCTATGAAATAAATACAGAAGAATGCAAACTGATGTCTTCTCACAGAAATTAACTGTGGGCAAACAGTGGAACACACTGGCTCCTGTATCAGTGGTCCTGCTCTCATAGGCCAGCAGATCTGAGATTGCAGGTCTGACATGAGAAACTTGCCATGACAACTGTTGTTCAAATAAAGCATTTAGCGAATAGCAGCAGCACAATATGAAGCAATACACAGGACACAGACTTCAAGTTTATCCTGGGAATGGGGTTTCCCAAACCAATGCATGAGCATTAGTCTTATTATTATCTCATGCATTGGTCTAAAAAAAAATAAAAATCAATGGCTGCCCAAGCACAACTTACAAAGCTCTCAGGCTTTTAAGTCTGATCTCATAGAACAGAAGGTAAAGGAAAAGACCTCTTTGCCTACCAATACTTGAAGTCACTTCGACAAGTGGCAGTGAACAATAAGGACCAAATGCCAGGCTACTCAGGAGTGCTTGGTGCAAGGAGACATGCAACATGGCTGATAAGTCATTTTAGGGAAATGACCTTAATGCAGAACAAACACCGTATCTGTATACACTTACATGTTCCTGGTGACGCTGGTTTGAGACTGTGTTGGAACAACACCCAAACTGTCAATCTTGTGTTTGCTGACCAGGATCCAAACCTTTATCCTGGACTTTGCAAAAACATTTGCTGTTTTTTGGGTGTACAGCGTTCAACATTCAACTTTTATTCAATTGAGACTGACAGATATAAAGCACAGTGGGAGGAGTCTATTTTTATCTTTGATTATCCAAGCACAGATCAAAGGCTCTGCAATACAGTAACACTCCAAGGGCTTTTGATAGTGAAAGGATGTTTGTCTGGTCACCATAGAGAAAGAGATGTAAAACATCCTGTCTGTAGCATGATAAGGTATCAGGATGAGAAGCGGAGACAGGGCTCTGGGGGAAGGCAGTGAGAATTAGTTTGTTTAAATGACTTGTGTAAGCTTGGCAGAGATGAGATATTAATTATTTCTGCAGAAGTTAGAGTTTGCCCAGGATTCAGGCCAAAAAGCCATCTGAAGAGGAAACATGCTGTGCACCAGGCTGGGTGATCAGTGCACATTTGATAGCAACACACTGTGTGGGCTGGATATCTCCATTTCAGCCATGGTAGAAATATGTCTGAAATGAAGAAGCATGTGTCTCTCCTCCGAAAGGCAGAGGGTCAAAGTGGTTACGTGAGTCCAGATCAATGTTTGTTGTCCTTGACACTCATCCTTTCCCAAATATTCCACTGCAATTTGTGGCTGATCAACTTTGAGTCATCTCACTAGCTGGTAGCCAGCTAGGAAGTTACAGGGCAATTTTATTATGGAAATTTTCCCATTCATACTGAACAGCCAACTTTTAATTATGCTTCTTCTTGACTGACCCAAGCACAAGGCAGGCAAATGGTTATGGCTGAACCAGAGAACGGTGTCTCACACAGGCACAGCAGGAAGCATGGGCTGGGCAGTTATTGCAAGTCACTAACCTGTAATTCAGCAAGCAGCAGACCTTCTCCAAGGAGTGTAGATGGGAACTATAAACATGCACGCTCAACTAACCTCAGCAGCTTTCCTATGGTCATCCTCATTCTCCAGCATCCGGACATCTACACCAAGGCAGCGAAGATAGCGTCCAAGGCCTTGCAGCATGTTATCACAGACCACACTGAACTCTTTGGCGGAAATGGGAGCAGGGGGACGTGAGGTCTCCTTTTCAGATCCTTTGCATTGCTACAGAAAAGCAAGACATCTGTAAGCAGTAGAATGGAAGACTGATTGCCATTACACTTGTGCTTTTGCCTCCCTGCATTCATTCAACCAAATTCTACTGTCCCCTGCCACATGTATTACAATTTCCCTCATGCTCTGCAAAACCTCTAGCTCTCCTTTCATGTCCTTTCTTCATTGACTACCTACCACCTGGGCAGGAGGCAAGACATGATGGGGCTAATTCTAAATTACACATTTACTCACTGGCAAACCAGCCACCCAAAGGAGAGATCCGCACTTTCCCTGGAGAAATTCCAACTTGGTTTTCTTTGATCTACAGACACTGATGTCCATGAAGTCACAGAAATGTATCTTCAAGACTGCTATTCCCCTATCAAATTAGGCTGCAAATAATATAGATGTGCTGAGGTTATTTTGTGGGAGGGGGATCTGACAGACAGAGGGAGAAACAGGTAGACAAAGCATCACATCAGCCTTGTTATCTTCGGAAGTTTAAAAATAGACAGTGCCTGAATTCTGTTTATTTCATTTCAAATGTCTGCTCCCGGGTGAGTTCCTGTAGTTGGAGACTTTGTCTTTGGAGGCTCCCAGAAGTACAATAGTTAAGTTCGTGGAGAAGGGAAGTTATTAAGGAGCCTCCAGGGTTCAGCTTTGCCTTCAGGAACTGGAGTCAGCTGGGATGGCTGAAGGAGACAGCCACCATCTACGTGGGGCTATGATTCTGTGATTTTATGCTCTTTGCAGCATTTCAGATTAGCTCTGCAGGAGCTGACTCAGGCCTGGAAATGCCTGAACACCATGTATCTGCATGAACACCATGCAGATACACCTGGGCTGACTGTGTGAACTAGGTCCTAGAGCTCAATTTGCATGATGACACCTCTCGGCAGCTGCTCCATGCGCTCAAAGCTCTGCAGCACTGGGTGGACTGGCTGGACTGTCACTGGCTCCTGAAAGGATACTGGCGGATGCCCTGAGGCATCAGAATGCTGTGATAACAGATCAAGTTGACCCTTCGTTGTTGAGGTAGTTGGAAGACACTAACCCTGTGTTGCTGCCTCTGTTCAAACAGATGTAAAGGAGCAGCAGCTGGCTCTTAGCTCGTGTTTATTCAATGGCCAGCAATGTTATACGTAGCTTTTTTCTCACGTTTCATGCCAGCAGAATGCAAAAGGCTTCTAAAGGAGAACAGTGTCATTAGCCCCACTTCAGAGAGTGGACAAGGAAACACCAGCAAAAAGAGCTTGGATTCAGGCAGGACACAGTCAGGAGAAGTCTGCTTTTTTGAGTCCCATGCCAAGTTTTATCAACCACCTCTTGGCTAATGAATCTGACTGTACAAAACACAACAATGGCACATGAGTTCACAAGGTAATTCAAGCCTGAAGTGCTAACTTTCCCCATCTCTGCAGCAGCCAGTCAGATCTGTTGTAACATACAATTTTCCCATGAACACAAGAGTGCTTAGGAAACTACTAAGCAGCTTTGTGTTTTACTGCCTAAGACTAATGGGATAGTGTACATTCACACATGCTTGGTAAGGAGGATCCTGGTAGCTGTACGTGAGAGTATCTCAGTCCAAGCATGGAAGGTAGTACTGACTTCAAGAGATAAAGTCACATTTGGGACTGCTTGGAAGGATATGCAGCCATAGGGAGTCTCGTCAGTTAATAAACAAAACTTGACTTCTGTTGATGTTTTAATAGGTGCATAAACAACCAGATAGCTGCATTTTAAAAGTAGAACTTTATTACTAAGAGAGAAGGTCCAGTCACGTTCCAAAATATTGAAGAGGTCACATAGCTCCAAGTTGCCAGCTGAGTTTTAAGGCTCTACCACAACATACATTGCAAGGGTATGCTAGTCACAGTTTATGTGGTGGTGGACTGGGTGCCAGATACAAACCATCAGAAGGAAGACTTTTTTGATTGATTGTTTTTGACTTTGCAGACTTTTACTGCAGGCACAATAAAGGAGGCATACACATAGTGAAATCATAATGTAGAAGGTCAGTTAAAAGCAAAAGTAAGGAAGTCGGAGCTTAAACCTGATTAATGCACCACTTAGGCCATAGAATTCAAACACACTAATGAGGAAATGCAGAAGGAGCATTTCTACTAGCATTGTTAGCTAGATTCTGCCACACAGATCTATACCAACATTTTGCAAAGACCTAAACCTAAAATTGAAGGGAAACCTGAACTAAGGCACACAAAGGAGGAAACACATTTTAGCAGTGAAGGGGAGGAGCAAGAAAGATGTTTGCTGCAATAGTCCTGAGAACAGACTACACACAGGCATGCCAGGCATAGCTAATAGTATGACTGAGAGACAAGGCAACGTATGATTTGCAGGGGTCTTGAGCAACATGCAGCTCTTTGAAGATGTTTACAAACCTGTCCACAAGGTGACGGTACCTCTTGTTTATTCAGCTGCTTCTTTGCCCTGGCTTTTATGGTTGGTTTTCCCACCAGACTCTTAGTCAGGTCTGAATTCAGACCAAAGCTTGTTGGATCCTTACACAGCTTCTCGTAGATCTCCAGCAAACAGTATGCATCTGAAGCTGAAAACAAAACAAAACAAAACAAAACAAAACAACACCAAAAAAAACAGAATATGAGCATCAGCTGGATTCATTCAAAAGCCAAAAAGAAGCTTTCCTGATGCAAAGAAAAGCCAGCATCTTTGTAAATGCCACTGAATGCACACAGCCTGTGAAGCTCCAGCTCATTAGTGTCATAGAATCATAGAATTTGGGTTGGAAAGGACCTTAAAACTCATCTAATTCCAACCACCCTGCCATGGGTAGGGACACCTCCCCCTAGATCAGGTTACTTGAAGCCTCATCCAACCTGGCTTTGTTGTACCCTGTACTCTTTTATTGATTCAGTGACCATCATAACCTAACACACAATCAAAAAGAGTCAAGGCAAAGGAACCCAAAACTGATAGGCCCTCTGTTGTCTCTTACTGTAACGTTATGCAAATTTTAGTGTGTCTGTTTAAACCACGAGGTAAGATAACTTCAGCCAACCCATTTCACTCTCCATTGTTACTGAGCAGCGGCTTGCCCATGGTTTATTATTGCATCTTAGGTATGGGAAGGTAAATTCCCATTAGATGCAATATCTTAAAAAGTAATAACTGAGTTGTTTGCAATCACCTGCCCACACGCACTACCATCCAGCCTCTGTTCATTGCAACGGGAACTAAGTCTCCAAGCCAGTTAAGCCAGTTAAGTTACAAGCCTTGGTGATTAACTTTTGTGGGAACTGTGTCAACTTCAAGGATAGCTGAATTTAACAAAGGGCTGGTTCGCTTCAGTAGGCTGTCCTTTGATGCCTCAGGAAAAGATTTAGACTCAGACTTCTGACTCTGGGGTAATCAGCAGTAAAAACCACTGTTGCCTCCACCATACCGATTCAGTGCTACAGTCTTTGACACCATGTCTACCCATTTTTAACATTGCTCTAACGAGCACTTCACTATGACAAATAAACACAGCACTTGTTGCCCAGAAATGCTGTGAAATGAGGCAGAAGGAAGTGGACTTTCTTCCTTTCATTTACTGAGAGGAGTATCCACTGAGATGTTTCATCAGACAAAATCTGCAAAGCACAGGAATTCTTTCATGAAATAATGAATCACTGGACAGATTAAACTTCAACCATTAAAGCTATGTCTGCAAAAGGACAAATATACCATGTGCCAGCTTCTCTGAACAGGAATTAATCCGCAGAGCCATTTTTCTTCATTTGCTACTTAAAACAATTTTTCTGGTGCCAGACAACAGACAAACATGTTGTCTAATGGACAAATGTAGCACCTTGTGACAGAGTCAGTGACCAGACCTGCATATATGATCTGTTCCTCCCGCAGCGGCCGTTTCTCCCAGTTAGACAGCTGCTCTGTTTTATCTAGAGGTTTTCCCAATACATGTTGTACCAAGAGGCTGAGCCCTTTCTCTGGCTGCCTGATCCCTTTATCCTCATGGCTCTGCTCAACCTTCCGGCTGCTCTTCTTCCAGTCAATGGAGGCCTTCTGAAGCTGATGGAAAAAGGATATAAAACACATGGTTATAAAACAAATTCTACAACACCTCCTGTTTTGGTGGGTGGGGCCACACAGCAACTCTATCATTTTTATATCTTGCCTGGCACATCAAATCCCATTGTCTCAGACAAGGGCTGGGATGACATTAGATGTATAAGGTGTCCGACTATTTGCTTAACAAACACACTTGCTGGAAAGAAATCTGCTTCATAGCCACAAAGGCAAAAGAAATAGTACAGACTGACAACATTGCATCATAGCAGTGGGGCTGTGATTGTGACTTCAAGATTTTCAGGGTGCTCAACCACACTGAAGGCTGTTGAACATCAACTTAATATAAGTTCAACACCTTTCTCCTCCTGGATCCAGAGAAAAGGTATTCCTGCAACACAGTGGGCAACAGCCTTTCTGAAGTTGCCATTTCTCAGATAAAACTGAGGTAACAGTTGTTGGCAGGTACTTCAGACACTACTGCACTTCCCTTATTAAGCTATCAATCCCAAAGATCTGGATCCTCCCCAGTCCACAGTCATTAAAATGGTTGTCCTTAACATTTCTGCAGAATGCTAAAAAAATAGTGTGTGTTAGGCCATAGACATCTGTATCTCAGATGAACAGAAATTCCTGTGCTTAACCTGCAGCCCTTCTGAAATGTGATGAGTTTTCTACAAATCATGAGCTTCATATCTGCTTCAACATATTGTTGGAATATCAGTGTTTGTACAAGAATTTATTCACATCAAGTTCAAGTATGCCTTGTGCTCAGGAACTTCTTCATAACTGAACAAAGCTGTATCTCCATTTTGATTACATTTTCATAACTTGTATGAAGGCTATGAAAAGATTATTAGTATACCAAGCACTCAGTTGATGAAAAGTAAATGCTTCTGTCTTTTGTTACAAAATCAGATTACCCTCAAAGCCAGAAGAGGAAAGGGCCTATTCACTGTCTTAGCCATCTCCTTGCCAATACAGGATACGAAAGTACAATGCTGTGAAATCATGACAGTTATCTACTGGTACACAAGCAGGAGGCACATTGTTCCGTATCTTCACATGTTCACCCTTACTTGTTTGTCTACTGTGAGTAGGTCCACTACACCTTGTGATTGCTTATCCATGCCTTTCAAAGCAAAGCATGTGGCTGCAAGACTGCTAAGGTCTCCAGACATCCCATAACCTGGAGAGAAAAAAAATACCACACAGTTATAAAAACTCAAATCATGGCTAATGCACTGCAGCTTTTTTTTTTCTTCTTCTTCTTCTTCATTTTTTTTTCCCTAGTTTGGAGTTAAAATGCTTGTAATATATGTGTAAACTTTGGTGAAAAGACTGTTCTGATAGGGAACAATGCAGACTCCCATCTCTCCTGTTCTGAAGAGATACCCTTGCAGATCAAGACTTGGAGAGAAGAAAAGGTAGATGAAAAATGCTGAGTTTAAACTCAATTTTGTTAAAAACTGCTAGATCAGTGAAAGGTGAACAGAACAAGAAGCTTTTAGCTTCTAAGAACTTGAAAGAGAGAACTATGAATTTGTCCTTGAACTCCTGCCAAAAAGCCTCTTCACAGAATTGAAAACCATGTAAGACCGGTGAACTATTGTATGGTAAGTTGGAGAACACTGGTGTCCAGAAGGACCGATTGTAGAAGGACTGATTAAAGACCCAAGGCAGGGGAGAAGAGAAGCATGTTACCTAGTTTAGTGATGGCTGCATCTGAGTAGAGCATCTGGATAAAATGGGGAAGCTTCTCCTTCTCACCCTCCATCTCAGCTTGTTCAAGGAGTTGTGGCAAATCAAGCAGGAACACCTCATCCTTCACAGCGATTTGAAGGAGGGAGACACGGGGCTTCCCAACCATGCCGAACGAAGGCCTCCACTCCATGTCAATAGCAACAATCTGTCCAGGCTGCAACAGAGACAAAAACTTCCTGCATTTGCAGACTGTCCTTACTTAAACATAGCTGGGATAAGCTTGAGCAACAGTCAGTATCCAGAATACAAGTGTTTCCTTTTCAACAACTGCATCTCTTTGCTGGTGTGCACACTACAACAGTCTCAAGTGACTTTCACAGCACACTTGAGTTATCCCCTTGGGGCTTCCCTGCTACAGCAATTCCCAACACATTCCCCAGTCAGACAAGCTTTTAGGCCTCACTGCAGTCCTTGACTTCTGGAGGGAGATATTTGATGGCAGTGACCCACATACAATCCCATGTACCAGCCTGTTATGGAGTTTCTGCTCCTTGATCTTGCAGATACCAGAGTTACACTCACCTGCAGCACCTTTTCCCAACACTGCAGCATCTCTTCCCACTTTTGCAGGAAATGAATATTTGCACGTGGAATAGGAAGCTGGTAATAATCCTTCTTGTTGATCTCTTCATACTTCTCTGCTTTTGTGGCCTCTTCTACACTGCACAGAAGCAGATGCAATAACTTTAAACAATGCAACGAGGGGAAATCCTGGTTTGGAGGAACTTTGGGTCATGAAGTCTTAAGCCCCTGATTTCAACCTGGTCCTCTATTTCCCCATGCTACCTCTTTCTCTTTGCTCATTTTACCTGTAATCACTGCAAAGCATCCTGACTCATCTTCTCTTTTTATTCCTATAAATGGTCACAGAAATGGCACTGTGTCTGAGACCTCACCACACTAATGCATTGTATCCACAGCAAAGAAAAGTCAAACCAAAACACTTGTGTCGGAGTCCCGGTCCCTGTCCTCAATGCTCATCCCTCTTTCCCAGAATTGATGAAATTTGGATGACAAAGTTGGGCAGCTGTTTCCACATTCAGAGATAACACATTTTAGATTTACTGCTTTTTGCCCTGGAGGTTAACATGGAAGTCTGCTAGTTCCCACGGTGTAATACATAACAGAGAAGTCATCTCTGACCAGCATTGTGTCCAAACAGGAGCTTCACACTTCCTCCCAACATAAACTGGCTCAGAAAGAGAACCTCGGACTGCTTCACACTAAGATTACTTCCAGCCAGGCGAGTCTCTCTCATCATTGATAATGCAATGGCTTGGGAAGACTTCATGTACTGCCTGTTGCACCTTCTTCTTCTCTACCACCTTGTAAAATGTTTGCATACTCTGTACAAGAACATTTGCCCTATACTGCACAGCCAGCACTACATTGCCAGCTGACCCCACAGACCATGTGCCTGGCCTATGCTACTCCCTCCACTTGGGTTTCAGATGGTACCATGCAAAGGAATTAGTATCTCTGTATTTAACACACTGGAATTGTTGGGAAGATGCCAGCAGGATGAGCTAACTGATTTCCTACAACAGGATCTTACGCAGCACATTTTCTTTACAAAATGCAGCAGAGTCTCTTGAAATGGCCTTGTAACTGGAAGGTCAGCATATTGCTGTGGTGTCTCATCCAGATGATGCAATCAGAGGAAAGAAACTAATAAAAATATCCAGCTATTTTGGACATATCACAAAGTTTTGGACACCCTCTTTCCCAGAGACCTGAAATGGTTTATTATTTGAGAAAATATTTACTAACCTTATGTTTAGGGGACTGTGTGACTAATTTTGTAGCAGAGCAGCTTTCACTGTACAAACACTCTTTTCCATGGGTTTGTGTGCATGCGGAAGTCAATATTTGTGTAAAATATTTAATGAAGGTGTGCAGTCTCAGGTCTCCGGGAATATTCTCGTCTGTGGAGTTCAGGAGCAGCGTGTGGTGTGAGCAGTGACAGAGATGATGTCATTTATATGCTGGTACCACCTTGTTCTCTACACTATGAACACCCTCTCCAGAAACCTGCTGCTTTGTTAGGTCAACAAATAATATAGCAGAAAGATTGTTTTATTAGATTCTGTGGCTCCATTGATTTTATAGCAGCTACTGCAGTAGGTATCATGACTGGATGAGTAAACTGGGACAACAAAAGGCTTTGCTTGTCTGCCAGAACTCATCATGAATGGCACAGCACATCCTAATCTGTGTGCCTTCACTCCACCTGGGCATGATACAGGCTTCCTGGAGCAGAGACATGTAGAGAGATTCCTAACTTCTTTGGTTTTTATCTCCCTAGATGCAGTCTGTGGTTAGATCACACTCTTGTTAACCACCTCTTTGTGTTTTGAGGGATTACACCTCATGCAAAAACCTCCTGGCTCCTAACAGGTAGCTGGTACAGACTGAGGAGGGAGGAGGAAGCAGATCCACTGATGCATCAGAGCTACGCAGAAGCAGGTCCTAGACAGACAAGAGTTTCCTGTGCTCCAAGAAAGCCATGTATTGTCTGGAGAAGTGAGCCTTTGCAGTCAGTGTTAGAGGGTAAATACATGTGTCATATTTCCCGAGGTTACACGGAACTTGAACATGAACCAGTGCAGATCTGCAGTGGAAGAAAGATCAGATCCCCAGTCATGAACTGTTTAAGGCTATCTGTGATATCCTCCCCAAACATTAGTATTAAGAAGTAGGTACTCATTGAATTACTCATAATTCAATTAAATCCAATCTATACTCCAAATATATGATTTTTAGTTAAGAAAAGATCCTTTTTTTTTTAATTTATTTTTATTATTTTTTCCAGAATTACCTCCTCTAGGAGATGGAAATTTACTGTGGTGCTGTTTACAATAGACCTGATGATAAACTTGTTAGAGCAGGTAACCTTGCCCAGTCTCAGGCTTGCTCAAAATGGTCTCCTTAGTGAAAGGTCAGCATTAACCAGACATCCAGTGACTGTTGAATGGAGTTCATAATTCTGACACATGATACCAGAAGGAAAGTTTTCCACTAAGAACACACGGTAAAAGGAAGCACTCATGTCATCAGGATGCAGCTGCATGTTCTGCAGAAACATCTGAAAGCCCCAGACTATGTGGGGTAGTAAAAGAGCAAGGGCATGCAGACTCTGCCTCTGCTTTTTGCAGAGTTGCTTTTTGCAAGTTGCAAGCTTCCAACTTGCTACCAGAGGAGCAGGGGTCATCAGCTTTCTGCTGGCTTTAATCCTCCCCAAACAGGCAATGAGTGATATCACCAACAACTGGACCACAGTTCGTATCAAGTCAGATTCAGATTTCCATTATACACACCGAAAAGTTCAGACCCATATATGAACTTACTGCTTCGTATTACTGGTTCCAAACATTTCATGTCATTTCAAATGTCAGCAAAGCTTTGAGCTATGCTGCACTGAAACCAGACAGCCCACAGATCTCTTGTATTTGCATCAAGTATTCAGGGATTGGTCCTCTTCTATGCAGAGAATCCTGCAGATGAATTCTCTGCAATTAGATGAATTCCTGTTCTTAAATGAGTGGAGAAAATGCTGCTTGTTTGCAACAGGTCTCCAAAATGCCTGTGCGATTAGCCTGAACCCAAGGACTGTGGTAGCCTGCAGTTTTGCAGGAGTTCGGTTCATGAACATACATGGGCACAGAGGCTACCAGACTCTGTGTTTATGGGACCAGACCGAGGTTCCAGGTATCCTGTGCAGTCCTGGGTGAGACCCTGAGAGGACCCTAATGCAGCATCACCTGCAATCTCTGCAGTTCCTCAAGACTTGGCAGTAGCCTGCACATGTGCAGGACTTTTTGCAGGAGAAAAAAAAAAAAAAAGTTCTAAAAAGGGTCCCAAATAAGGCAATCTCTTAATAAGTTGCTTTAACAAAAGCTTGTGGACAGACTCACTAAAGCATGGCAGAAACACCATCACTTGTGAACAAAAGGTGAGCAACTGAGGACTCAGAAAATTATTTGTAATGCATCATTTATCCAAATGCAGCCATTCTTCCTCTATACAGTATAGCTAAGCAACTGTCTGGGACACTGCTGCACGAAGAGGATGATTTGGGGTTGCTATCTCCCAGACACAGCACAGAATACCCAGAATCAGAACTACAAAGCTCTGGCACTCCTCCACATTTAGCGCACTGTGGGGATCAGACAGTTTCTAATCCTTTAATTGGCTATATTTGGCCTTCTTAAATTTTGAGCCTCTTCTCAACTTCCTACAGCTTTGGCTGCACTCAGCGTTGACCTTTTCCCTCTGCAGACCCTTCATCCTACCCCTTTGCTCCTCCTGCACCAGCAGGTTCACAGAGAGCCTTGGCTGGGGCTGTTTGCCCAGTTCTCTGCACTTGAAATCAAGGAGTTGTAAGAACCCATCTTAATATAAGGGTTCTTTTTTGTAGCTCTGCCTTTGCACTCCCCTATCAGGTCACGCAATGGAGTGAAGTTAGGAGAGGAAATGCGGCTGCTGCAGGCTAATGTGCTGCATACAACACAGGGGTCCCAAAGCAAAAGAGGAAACATGGTACTGCATTACTGGGATTGCACTAGAGGAAGGAAAAGGGATGGCAAATAATTAGGGGGCTGAAGGCTTATAACCTCACTTGGTAAACTTGTGCCTGGGAGTCTAGTTTTATCCCAAATTCAGTTAACACAACTCTTCTAGGATCTGATCCCAAGTGTCAAAAATCCCCATTACTTCTGAGAGCTTTGGATGAAGCAAAAAATACAGACTGCCTTAAGAGCTGTCAAAGGAGGAAGAAAACAGACATGATTAAGAATTTTTGAGGAACTTTATTTTGTTGCCCACAAGTCTCCCAAAAGGCATTAAATCACATTAAAGTACATGGGGGATGTAGAGTATATGGACAACTTACACAGACATGTAATGAACTCAATAAAATAAATGCATGTTCAGATCCTACCTGCATCATTTCATTTTCACTAGTGATCTGGCAGAGGGAGTCTGAAGACCTGTCCACAGCATCTCAAACAGCTTTTAAATACTCATGAGTGAGTTTAAAATGCATCTTTTCAGACATTTCCAGGCTTATGAAAAGCAAATTTGGCATGTTCATCACCAAGACGTGATCTCAGTAAATGGAGAAAGTTTTTGCAAAATTATCTCACGAAGGTATAATGGGTTTATGTGGCAAGGTTTTGGTAGTGGGGGGCCATAGGGTGGCTTCTGTGAGAAGAATCTAGAAGCTGCCCCATGTTAGGGAAGGGCCCCACTGCTGACCAGAGCCAAGCCAGTAAGCGATGTTGTTTGCACCTCTGTGAGAGCATACATGTATTTAAGAAAGTAAACAAAACAAAACAAAACAAAACAATGCTGCCACACAGCAGCTGGGAGAGTGAGAGGAGTGAGGAACAGCCTTGCAGGCACCAAGGTCAGTGAAGAAGGAGGGGGAGAGGTGTTCCAGGCGCCGGAGCAGAAGTCCCCTGCAGCCTGTGGTGAGGGCCATGGTGAAGCAGGATGTCCCCCTGCAGCCCATGGAGTACCACGGTGGAGCAGGGTTCCACGCTGCAGCCCGTGGAGGAGAGCACGGTGGAGCAGGTGGACCTGCACCGATGGAGGCTGTGGGCTGTGGAGGACCCCTGCAGGAACAGATTCCGGGCCAGACCTGTAGCCCGTGGAGAGGAGCCCACGCAGGAGCAGGTGACCTGGCAGGAGCTGCTGCCCGTGGGGGACCCAGATTGGACCAGTTTGCTCCTGAGGGATGGACCCCGCAGTATGAACCCGTTCTTGAGGAGCTGCTACCCATAGGAAGCCCACACCAGATCAGTTCAGCAAGGACTGCATCCCATGGGAGGGACCTCACAGCACAGGGGCAAGAGTGACTGAAAATGAGTGGCGGAGACGAAGATCCATAGACTGACCACAACCCCCATTCCCCCATTCCCCTGTGCTGCTCAGGAGGAGGTGAAAGAGGGTGGATGGGGGGAACACATTTTTGGTGTCTTTCCTTTGTTTCTCACTTCTCTAGCTTGTTAGTAATAGGCAATAAATCTTACTATCTCCCTACTCTGAGTCTGTTTTGCCCATCACAATACTTGTTGAGTGATCTCCCCATCCTTATCTCAACCCTTGAGCCCTTTGCATTGTATTTTTCTCTCCCTTTCCCTTTGAGGAGGGGGAGTGAAAGTGGTTATGGTGGAGGTTGGCCGCTCACCTGAGTAAAACCACCACAGAAGGAAGAATTATGGTAGATTATTTTAAGCAAATACACAGTCTTTGTATGATAAGTAGTCTACAACGAACGGGAATGAAACAGTATTTACCTCTCTTGGATCTTAAGCTTTTGAAGCTCATCAGCCACTCCATTAGGTAGTATCTCCTTGGGCAAATTGCAGCGTTGTGCCCATCTTGCTGCTGTGTTCAAATCACAGTAACTGATTAGCAACTGTATCAGGTGCCCTTGAAGCCATTGATTCTCTCCAACTGTGCTCTGCAAGGAATTAGGGGTGAAGGAAGACCGTCAGTGCAATTTCCATCACAGGTATATCTCACCCACTTTAAGGACCTCCCTGTGGTCCTGGACCAGGGTAGAAAGGAGCAGGAATTCCTACACTACAGGAGTGACATTGCTCAAGCCCTGCAAGTGCTGCACTTCTTTCTGCCAAGATATGAAAAGCACATCTGACCCCTGAAATCTCACTGATGTCTTTGGATTTCTCGGCAGCAAGGCTGCTCCAAACTGCATTTGTTCAGGGAATGAGACTGAAGGCCACAGATGCAGCATAGATAAACAAGAGTAAAACAATGTCATTTAGCCAGACTGATGACTAGCATGTTATTTGGTTGGTCTGAGATACTGATTACATTAAGAAAAATCAGAACTAGTGACTGACCAGAATACAGGTCTTTGAGCTGATTAGGCAGGTAATTATGGAAGGGGCTAGGGTTTGTACTGTTTTAGTCCCTTTCTGTGCCCACACATGACTCTGAAGTGATGCTGCAACTTGATGTTCTTGCTTCTGCAATAAAGACATACATGATCTCGTGTCAGTGCAGGAGCTTGAGTTACATGCACCTGCAAAACGGGAAGACAGTTGGAGAGGTTCCCTATTCCCAAATATTGTCTGGTGGGAGTGAATGGTGTGCATGTGCCTCAGCACATTTCAGAGCCTGGGGGCACAAGCACGAACTCACTGCTGGCTGTGGTTTAAACCAGCATGGAATCAAGCATGTTGCCCACACTGGCACCAGGGAGCAACTACGTGCAGAGGCAGGCAAATAGGCCCATAATATTCTCCACTGCAACAGTCAGAACCACCTAAGCTTTTCTCTTGTTCACCCTCTTGCTCTCTAGGGTGCTGTGGCACAGCAGCTCTAAGAGGAAATATGAATACAGTGACACCAACAGTCAGCTACAGAAAGGTGGCAATAACCCACTCCTGCCCAGCCAACCCAGCTGTGCTTGCAAATGTCCCAGAGCCATTGCAGCCAGATCAGCAGTTTATTTCTCTAGCCAGTCCTGTTGACTGATTTACTCGTGGATCTGCCTTAGAAGTTATTACTGTCAAGAAAACTTAATTGCTAAAACAAGTTGAAACTCTGCATGGTAGATCTGGATCTGTAGATATATGGCTCTATTGCTCCTAGCACTACCAACAAGTATTTTTTAGCATAGTGAAAAGCCACAGGAATTAAATTCTCAGGTGCACACGCCACTGCCATCCTTCCTTTGCTGCCCCACCAAGCAGCACTTGCAGGGTCAGAGTCTGTTCCCAGGGCCTGCAGGCACCTTGCTCTTCCTCCACCGCATGTGCAAATGCTGGCAGGCTGGGTGGTATGCTGGGGCCACTGGGCCTCATTCCTCACATTCTTTCAGTAACTAAAAGGTGAGAAGTTTTCTTCAAAGCAGACACCCTTCACAGAAATCAGGAAACAAACCTGTTGTTGGCCTGGAGGTAAAAAGGAAACAAAACAAAACAAACAAACAAATAAAAGCAAACAAACAAAAAACCCACAGAGGTGCAGGAGGGAATACAGACTTGGAAGAAAAACCACAGAGAAATTTGGCATCCCAGGTAGCGCACACAAGAAGCCAGCCTGCCCATAAAAACTGCTGCCTCAGCACTAAGTCTGCACCCCTGTGACTTCGCCAACTGCCAAAACGCATTTCTTCTAATGGATATGTGGAGGGATATTTTCACTGCTGTTCCCAAGAGGTTAGTGATGCACCCAGGAGCCACTGTCAGCAGGATGGGGACCCAGGGGCTGGGTGGCAGCTACCCAGGGGCTCAGCTACAGAAGAGAAGCAGGAGAGGGAACGCAGGGACAGAGCAGAGCAGGACAGGATCAGCTATCACACTGCAGCTTCTTGCCCTCTACATTTCCTCCCCCCACATCTCCTCTCCTGGCCATGCCAGTCCAGCTACTTTGTGCGTCTCTCACATCTCTGTTTATGCAACTGAGCTCAGCCAAGTACCTAGGACATAAAGGGGTTTGAATAACTCCTTCTGCCTAGTTTGCCAAGCCACTTCTCAGAGTCCTTCCCTAAAAGAACATATTTTCTTATTAACATCACAGAGCAATTCCCTCTTCTAGGTTGCCCTGTGTCCATCCTATTGTCTTTCTGCCTTTTCTTCTACAACACAAAGTCTTTGGGTTTGGATCTCTCTTCAGTTCACCCAGAGTCAATTCTTAATAAATCTCATTATGTCAGCTTTATTTCTGGAAATAATGAGGTACAGATTTTTTTTTTCTTTCTTCATTTTTTTTATTGTAACAGATTTATTCTTTCAACCACAAAAACAACTCTGTAAAGAGGGTTAATCTCTCCAGAGATATTACATCTTGCATTTTGAAATGGAAAATGACTGTGTTTATTTTTTATTTTTATTTTTTTTCTGAAAAAATAACATTGTTGTAAAGGGGAAAGGCTTCCACCACAACAGCTCTGCAAGAACGTGGAAACTTTGGCCCCAGAAGATGTGGATACAGATTCAGAGACTAATGTTTCACTAGGGGTGACATTTCATGCCTTTTGTTTTTTGTATATGGACACTTGGAAGAGGAAACTGGCATGGTTGTTCTGATCAACATCAGTGACACCTCCAAGCAAGAAAAGATTATACCATGAGTCTTGTTTACATCCTTCTCTGAATTCTAGACATATCATACGTTCTTTAATCCATAGGCACACACAAAAATTCCTGACACCAACAATAACCCATGATTAAAGCTTTCCAAAATGACTCCTGCAGATTACCTACCCGTAAATCCTGTTCTTACCCAGCTGAATGCTTTACAGAGCTCATAACAGTCAGTACAGAGTAAGCTTAGCAATGTCCTGATTTTAACATGTAGCATCAGCAATTCTTCCATTGTTATCAATAATTTTGGATTCAAATATCCAACATCTTTTCGGGAAGTCACACTTACCAGCCCTAGATTAGTTTTATCTGTGTGAGTTAAGCTGCATTTCTGTCTGATACAATTCTCCACTTTCTCCCAATACCTTTTACTGAGCAGTGAAGCTATTCACACAAGTAACGCTGACTATTTGAATGTCTTGGCTAATTTCCCCTGTTCTCAAGTGCTTCCAGAAATAACAAAAAAAGTCCTGTTAGTGCAGAGAAAATGTCAAGTAGAATATTTTAGATCCAGCAACTTTAAAAGCAGCAAAAAAATAAAGAGGTCAAGACCACTGTAAGCTATGGAGGACACCACCAGCATTTCTAAAATCATGCATTGTTGCAGGTACTGTGCAGACACCTTTGTTTTAAAGATACCCTGGAACATCCTACTGTGTTTTTTTCATTGTTACTTTATTTGTGATTGAGATTTCCAGTTTGAAGTTAGCATCATTTCTACTACACAGAGAGATGCCACATCAGTAGCTCATTAAAGGAAAGGATTTACACATTGGCGTGGAGCAGGGACCCCGAGCACAAGCTCGGAGCTGAGTCACAGCCCGTTCCACAAGAGAAGGGGGATCCTGACCTCCAGATATCTGAAATAGATGGCACTCGGATAAAAGATGCCAGCTTTACTCACACTCACTTCTGAACAGGGTTTCTTGTAAAAGCAGCAGGCCACTCACCCATGGCCAATGCACAAAAGACAGAAGCATGAGAAAGACAGATTTTCTCACCACTTGAGCTGTTCTCTCTCTCACAGTGCAGGCTACTCAGATGCACTAATTTATGAACTGAAGATGAACTAAATAGCCTCCATTCATATCCCAGAAGACTGACTTTCAGATAGCAATCAGTGCGTCATTGACAGAGCCACACTTCAGTGTTCTGGAGGCCATTACCACATCAATGGCGGGGAAGTGGTCTTTCTTCTCTCTTTCAACAAAGCTCTGGCAATGTGGCTCCCTGGGGCATGTTCACACTACCTAACTTCAGCTTTGTGAATCAGGAGACTCCGCTTCCCAGTCTCCCCATGCAATCAACTGGGAGAGACGGCTCGGCTCTTCTGAAAGGCCACGCAGAGGAGCCTAACTTATGATATCACTTGAAGGGATCAAGGCAAAAGCAACCTTTAAAGCCAACTTGTGGCTGCACCAGGGCTCCTCACAAGGAGCTTATTGCTCCTGGGACATCCAAACAGAGCTGTTAGCTTGTGACAGCCAGCTAGGACAACACCATGCAAGGAGATGTGTCCACCTCTGTTCTTCTTTTTGCAGCTCTCACAACCTCACCAAAACAATTTCTTGTTCAGAAGTCCAGGTGCCAATATCACATGTCCAGCTCAAATTCCCTGGGCTAACTGCATGCCCAGCTGCAGGCTGAGGAAAGCGATCATTCCCTGCCCAGCACCTGGGAGACCACCTCTGGACATGGGGCCTGGTTTTGGCACCCCATTGTAATCAAGGTGTGGACAAAAAGGAGAGACTTCAGCAAAGAGCTGGTAAGATGGCTGGTGGGCTGAAGCATGGGATGTGTAAGAAGGAATTGGGGGATCACGGCTTGTTCAGCCTAGGGAAGGCTAAGCTGGGGTATATGGGGTGTATGGGGAAATTCCTTTCTCTCGTATCATGGGCCATCATAGAGAAGACAGAGTCAAATCCTTTTAGAAAGTGCAACTATGTATAAAGGAAAAAAAAGGTGACAGTGAGGGTGCCAAGGCACTGAAATGGGTCTAGAGGGGCTGTGGAACCAGGCAGGGCCCTGCAAGACCTTGTCCAACGTTGAAGTTTGCCCTGCTTTGAGCAGGAGGACAGACAAGAGACCTCAACAGGCTCCTTCAAACTGAACCTAGCCTCCGATTTTGTGATTAGTGTTGCTGGGCCTTCCATAGCACCAAGGCTTCTCTCCACACAGACAGGTGGCTTCTTGCAGCAACTGCTGCTTTCAAGTTCCAAGCACCTCCCGGGCTAAGAACACCCAAGATCTCGTCTACCCGGAATACAGGATGGTCCTGATCATGCTCAACAGTATTATAGAGAGATCCAAAATACATATCCAGCTTTGGGATTCTTTCCAAACCTCT